CAGATCTTATATTCAAGACCGTCTTAAATACAGATCTTAAGATGTCACGAACCAATCAGAGGGTCGCATTAGTGTCTTAAGACATTACTTAATGCGGGGTCTACAATAGAAGTCGTAGCGGTCGTAAGGCCTTAAGTCGTAGAAAATTGACCAATCACAGTTGATTATTCTTCTCATATTCGTCTGTGATTGGTCAATTTTCTACGACTATAGACCCTACGACTGCTACGACTTCTATTGTAGACCCCGCATAAGACAATCTTGAAATAAGAATCGACTATAAATACCGGCCTATGTCAGAGTTCTTGAAAACATGAGTATTGGCCGTAGCACAGACTCTTACATAATGCATAATGCATAGTGCATAAGGGAATCGACCAATCGAAATTCTTCTTTTCCATGGAATGGGAGGAAAGGAAAGATTCTGATTAGTTGATTCGCTTATGCACTATGCGTTATGCGTTATGCAAGAGTCTATGCTGCGGCCTTAATGGCTCCTGTACGCTAGATGCGGCAATGCTTACTACGTGGCGGAAGTTGTCAAACTAATCAATAATTCTATGTTCTTAAGTCGATTCACCTTGCAAAACTTCTAAAAATGATATAATATTACTTACGAGCAAGCGAAACATTGATTGGCCATCGTGCCAACTTCCGCCGCGCGGTAACTGTTACCGCGTTCCGTGTACATACAGGAGCCATAAAGGCTATCACACGTACAAAAATTTTAGTCGTAATCGTAAAGTCGCAAGCAAATCAACCGGTCTTATGAATACGACTAAAATTTTTGTACGTGATAGCCTTAAAGGTCATGGCACACAAAAAAACTTAAGTGATAAAACGTAAGCAGTAAGCGAATTGACCAATCACAGTAGAGTAAAGACTATAACACTAGCAGTAGCGAATCCAACATGTTGATTTCCTTACTGTTTACGTCTTACTATCTTAAGTTTTTTGTGTGCCAGGGCCCTAATACGGGGTCTACAATAGAAGTCGTAGCGGTCGTAGGATTTTAAGTCGTAGAAAATTAACCAATCATAATCAATTATTCTTCTCATATTCGACTGCGATTGGTTAATTTTCTACGATTTAAGACCCTATGACCGTTACGACTATTGTAGACCCCGCATAAGACCTGAATACAATCAATACTAGAAAATGGCTACGTTCAGCAGAGAAAACTAATCAGTTAGCGCTTAGTGATTCTTCAATATAATTCCTACACTTAGATCTAGTGAAGAACTAAAGGCAAGAACTAATCATATTAAAGAATCACTAAGCACTGACTGATTAGTTTTCTCTGCTGAACGCAGCCATTAAATGCCTAAACGATCGAAGTTGGATCTTTAATCAATAATAAGATTGAAAGACCGCTAATGTTAAACATAATACTTTAAATTAAGAAGCGCCATAACGGTCAGAACGTTAAGATGTTGAACTTTTGTAAATTCATTTAAATGAATTAATTTCAGAAATGATAATTGCGTGCCGATATGGTTGTCGGACTTTCAACGCAATCAAATCTGAAAATATTAATAATCCCCCCAAATTTCCCAACTTAAAAACTGTAATAAACTTATTGCGAAAAATAATGCCTCGGCCAGGAGTCGAACTCGGATCTCTTGCATTCCGTGCGAGCGTCCTAAGCCTTTAGACTACCGAGACCTTAGCATTATTCTTCTGGATCTTTAATGTTTAAATAGTTCAATGTGTGTTTTATTAAGGAATAAGAATGATAAATATATATATGAAGTAATAAATAATAATTACAATCTTCCTACATATATTACAAGTGTTATGACATGAGGTACATATTTCATGTAATATATTTATTGCATTTAGTGCACTGAATTCAATCTGCGCACTTTGTATGCTTTGAGCATAAATCCCGTCCGCTAAAAATGTCATTTATCCCAAAGGTGAGATATACAAGATAACAAACTAAACAAAGAATACGAAAGCAAAGCACTGTATTTTGCTATAAAACATGCTTTATTATTCCTCTACACGAGGTGCGTTCGGCAATGTAAATCTGAGATGCGAGCTAGCAGATGGTGAGCTTGATCATGTGATCTTCGAGCAAACCGAGTGCCAAAAATTAATTCTGGACGCGTCCGAACGATACAGAATTGTCATTTAACGTCATTTAAGATTATAGCAATGTTTAGAAGATCCCGGCCGCCTCAAATTTTGATGCACTCAATCGGTGCGTTTTCGCGTAAAAATAAAGATTTGACAAGAAAAAAGTGTCGCTCTGCCCTGGGAATTGAGATATTAATCATTAAAGTCGACAACTATTCAGGTTAGAAAATCTGTCACAGCAGTGGTTCACTGTTTTAAAAACACAAATTCACTATTTTAGCAGAGTATTTATTTTTTATGCAGAGAATTTGTAGCGTTATTTATGAGTAACCCTTCAACTGCGTGGAAGAGATTCGGGCGAAACTTGGCGAACGTGCGCGCCGACCAGGACCTCTAAAAAGATTATGAATTTAATTTAGGCGCGAAAATTAGCATTAGCTCTACGAGCTCGATCTTTGAAGCCAGAGTGGATTGAGGAGCTCGATTAGCTCTAGAAATGTTAATACCGAATGCAGATGAGATGACATGTAGCAGAAAGATACGAGTTGCCGATGATTTGCGAGATAAAAGAGCAAACGGATGCCTCCGATTTGCAATGTCGAACGCACCTACGTATATATCATGAAATAACCACAAGTCTTTTACACGCCCTACAGTATAAATCATTTTATGTAGATTATAACTTATGATGGTGCTAATTATTGCAGTGATAAATCGATTTAACTCACAATAATTTCATTAATATTATCAGTAAGAAGCTGAAATTAAAACACAATACTAATATAATATAAAGCATGTAACAGAGTAGTTGCGAGAAAATTACCCCCATTCCTTCTATTTTTTCTGACTTCTGTGGCGTAAATCCCAGCGCGGCGTATTTGCCGGAGTTACCCTACATATCAAAAAATAATGATACGAGATATAATAATGATACAAGATTATATCAAGTTGCATTTTTGTACGCGCGCGCGTACAATATTATTATATATGCCTTAATAAGGCATTATTACAATCGATTATGTCAAACGCTTTTTCGACACTGCACTGATTATCGAACACACTGATTATCGAGAATACCGTTGTTAACTTGACACGAAAATGCTGAGGATGACGAAAATTCACACACTTTCCTAGCGTTTTCCATATTCTCTCGACGTTAAAGATGTCTGGGCGGTTTGGCGCGAATGTCAGACAAAAGTAGTGTGCCCGATGAATATAAAAATTTGTAATTGAGCTCCAAATTGTATTTATTCAAAATTTTGGGTTTTCAAAAAATATTTATTCACAAAAAAACTGAATATTTGACGAGTATTCATATTTATTCAAACAAAATATAAACTGAAAAAGAAAGCTGCAATAACTAGTCGTTATCCCTTTACTATAACTGGCACTTTGATGTCTTTAAGTAAAAAAAAATGAATTTTATTTATTTTTGTCATTGAAGTATTCAGATTTTATGAAGGAAACTTAGAAATTTTGAAAAATATTTTAGGAAATAATATATTTTTTATTTATAAATATTTATTTGATAATCCGATATAATTCCCGTTACATCACAGTAATGTTATAAACACTTTATAAGATATCTTGGGCTGCTTTGTTCATTATGATCTGAGGAGGATTAAATTCCGAGATATATTATTTATTCTCAATAAAAATGTCTTTGTTTAATCTATAGGCTAAAAAACGCCTATCATATAAGTCGCGGACTAAGAGCACAGTGTAATTGTAGCCACATTGTTTTTATAGATTTCTGTTTCTCTTGTAGGCTTACAGGCTATGTGCAGATAATACAGAATAAAAGTGAATACGAAACGAAAATATTCGTAATCATATTAAAAAAATATTTATTCAAATGGATTCACAAGATCCCTTGAATATCCATTTTGGAAATAAGCTTTTTAAAAAGGCATGTAATTGGCTTATTGATTATTACGCCGGCGTAATTACGCCCTATGGGACACTCGATGAAATTTTAAGCGTGACGTTATAACACATTCATCACACGAAGTGAAAACAAATGTGCATAATCTCAACTAAAATGTTGGACTCTGAAATAATGTTAATCCATTTAATAAAATATTTGAGAATTTATAAATGCTCGGAAAGTACTTTGTATAAAGAAACTGTTCGACGAAAATTAGTTCAAATGTATATAATATATGAATTAATGAGAGCTGAAGAGAAGAAAAGAAATTCTGCAATTAGACGCAATGCTCGAATATTTTGGGTTAAACCAATTTTTACTATTCAAAGACGAGTGGCATAAGGGGCTAGCAATAATCTGGTGCAAGAAATGATTTTTGAAGACAGCGAAAAATTTTTCAGTTATTTTCGAATAACATCAGAAACCTTTGAAAAACTGTTGCAGATTGTTTCACCACGTATACAGAAACAATTTCTTATTCGTGAGCCAATTTCTGCTCGCATTCGCCTTCAAATCAGCTTGCGATATTTAACTCAGGAGATAGCATGATATTCATATTTAATTCTTATTCACAATATTTTTCTATTAGGTTAGAAACTGAATCGTTTTCTAAACTCTATACACGTATATGCGCGTGTGTATGTAACGTGTATATTCACCTTTAGAGTGTGTACATACGAAACAATTTAATAAGGTCAATATTTATATTTAACAATATAATTTTATAGTTTAAATGACAATATGTTTTTATTTTATATTAATTATTCTTTAAAAATATATTTACTTTTTATTGAAATAATTTTTTATTCATGTTCTAAATCTTTGCCAAACTTTTTGTTTTACTTTCAAATACAATATCTACAATTTTTTAATAATTTTTTTATTTTGTCAAAAATTACATGAAATACATCTTTAATCATTTATCCGATTATTGAATGAATTAGAACGATGCATTATGATTAAGAGTAACTCAACCGAGCAGAGAGAGGAGTTATTTTTTTGTTTTAACAGGCTTTTTTTTCTTTTTCTCTTCAGATCGATACGGCCCCAACTTTTGACGCACCATAACACCTCGCCACCAGGCTTGCATCTTAATTATGCTATGCCGCACATGATCCTCGTGCTCCTTTTGTCTTCGGAGTGTCTCCTGCTCCGCGAGGTATGTGTCGATGAATTCCTGATTATTGCGATACTGTAACAAATACCGTATCCAGTTTCACCGCGAATTTACCGACATATTTTATTGGACCCCAGTGTCTTTCTCAGAAATAAGTGTGTTTTATACGAGATTCACGGGGCTTTACGCGATCGTGTATCTTCGTAAGTAAGA